AAAGGTTATAAAACTCTCTGAAGTGGTCCAAAATTTATGTAGAAGAAATATTTAAGATAATTATAAATGGGTGAGGGCAAATCGACATAAAGACAAATTTTGTGTACTTGAACTGGTGAAATGACACCACCAGATTATAAATTATGTGTATATGATATAGTATGAAGAGCAACAATTTAAAAAAAAATCTATACAAATAGATACACTTAAAAACTATTGATAAATCAAAATGGGATTCTAAAAAACTTTTTAATAACCCACAATGAGATAGGGGAAAAACACCAATGAAAAAACAGAACAGATAAAAAACAAAAGTAAAACGATAGACTTAAACCATAACATATCAATAATTATATTAATTGTAAGTGGTCTAAATATACCAATTAAAAGAGATTGGCAGAATTGATTAAAGGCCACGACCTAACTATATGCTGTCTAAAAGAAACTCACTTAAAATATGGCAATACAGTTGAGCATCTGCTCAACTCACGATGGGTTATGGCCCAATAAATCCATCATGAGTTGAAAATAACATAAGTCAGAAATGCATTTAATACACCTAATCTACTGAACAGCATAGCTTAGTCTAGCTCACCTTGAACACTCACATTAGCCTACAGTGGGCAAAATCAGCTAACACAAAGCCTCTTTTATAATGTGTTGAATATCACGTAATTTACTGAATACTGAAAGTGAAAAGCAGCACAACTGTGGGCACTCAAAGTATGGTTGCTACTCAGTGCACATCACTTTCACAACATAAAGTCAAAAAATTGCAAGTAGGAGACCAACTTTATGGTCAGATTAAAAGGATAGGGAAAGATATATCATGTAAATATTAATGAAAAGAAAGCAGGAGTGGCTATCAATATCAGATAAGGTAGACTTCACTGCAAAGAAAATTATCAGAGACCGACATATACTGATAAAAGTATATACTATATACTTTATTATATAATAAAGTATATACTGATAAAGGACACAGCAGTCCTCGGTGTGTGGGTGTTAAGTACACTGCTGCAAAATATATGAAGAAAAGTCAGAACTGAAAAGAGAAATAGACGTATCCACAACTATAGCTGGATTCTTCAACACCCTTCTCAACAACTGATAAAATAACCAGATGGAAAATCAGCAAGAACACAGAACACAACAATATTCTACCATCAACCAAAAGAACCTAACTGACATTTACAGAATGTGACACTCATTGAACTGGATGAAATGAAGAGTACAACATGTCAAAATGTGTGGAGTACAGTTAAAGCAGTGATGAAAAGAAAAGCACTAATTGTACACATTAGAGGAGAGATGGTCTCAAATCAATAATCTAAGCTCAGCCGGGTGTGGTGGCAGACACCTGAAGTTGCAGCTACTGGGGCAGCTGAGGCGCAAAGATCGCTTGAGCATGGGTTCAAGGCCAGCCTGGGCAACATAGTGAGACCTTGTCTCTTAAAAAAAAAAAAAAAAAGAATCTAAGCTCAAGATTACATCAAGAACTAGAAAAAGAAGAGAAAACCCCAAAGCAAGGAGTAGAAAGAAAATAAAGAGCAAAAAATAAAATTGAAAACAGAAAAATAGAGGGAAATCAACAGAACCAGAGGTGATTCTTTGAAAAGATCAATAAAATTGGCAGACCTCTAGTATAATAAGAATGACAAAGATAATCGTCGATATCAGGAATGAAAAAGGAGACATCACTACAGCCCCCGCAGTTGTAAAAAAGGATAATAAGGGGAAAATATGAACAAATATGCATATAAATTTTATAGCTTAGAGGAAATAGGCCAATTGCTCAAAAAATGCAAACTGCCAAAACTCACCTGGCATGAAATAGATATTCTGAATAGTCCTTTAAGTAGTAAAGAAGTTGAATTTGTAATTTAAAACTTCCAAAAAACATTCTCCAGGCCCAGATGGTTTCACTGGGGAATTCTCTCTATGCTTAAAGAAGAATCAGTATCTATTTTATATAGTCTTTTCCAGAAAATAGAAGGGGAAATATCTCAATTTATATTATGAAGCTAGCATTTATCTGATAACAAAGCCACACAAAGATACCACAAGAAAATAAAATCACAAACTAATATCCCTTATGAATGTAGACGTAAAATTTTGTAATGAAGTGCTAGTAAATAGAATTCAGCAATATATAAAAATGTTATACACCGTGACCAAGTACAGTGCATTCCAGGGATGAAGGCTGGTTCAATATTTGAAAATCAGGCAGTGTGGTCCACCGTATTAACCAACTAGAAAGGAAAACTCACACGATTGCATCAATTGTTGTAGAAGAAGCATTTGACAGATTTAACACCTATTCATGATAAAAAAAAAAAAAAACAAAACCAAACCAGGAGAAGGACGTCTGCTCCCACCCCTCGCTCCTCACCTGCCAGGAGCGACGGCCACTGCAGTGAGGCAAGAAAGGAAATAAGAGGATTACAGACCATAAAGGAGTAGAGCTGTGCCCGCTTACAGATGACACGATTGTTTATGCAGAAAATCCCGAGGAATCCACTCAGAAAATCCTAGAATGAGTAAGTGAATTCAGCACAGCCAGAGGCTACAAGGCAACGCACAAAACGCAATTGCATTTCTTTTCTGTCGTCCGGATCCCCCTGACCAAGGCATCTCGAAAGACGTACTTCTCTCCTGCTGCTAGAGCCGTAATTTTACGTCGCTGCACTGTTTGCAGTGCACGCTCGGTCGTGCTCCCCTTTCTGTCCGTGAGGTGAGAGGAGCCCAGAGAGCCCACCGGCAGCAGGCGTGCAGACGCGCCCAGCCGCGTCTCGGGCTCGCTCCGCCACGCACGGCAGCGAAGCGCTCACTGCGGCAGAGCCCTGCAGGCCGCCTCCACGAGGGAATGACTGATACGCATCGATGGCCCGTGACAAGTGAACACATTCCGTTAATGGTCCTAGTGTATCAGGCATATCAGCGATGTCTGCAACGGACGCACAGCCACTTAAATTACACATACGATGCCACTCACGAAAGCAACATGCTTAGGTGTAGATCTAACAGAACAGGTACGTCACTTGTGTGCCAAAGCCTGTGCAATGCTGCTGAGATTAAAAAAAAAATCCAATTGACAGACCCGCCGTGTTCCTAGGTTGAAAGACTCAGCATAGTAGAGATGACAGCCCCCTCCAAATTAGGGACAGTGTCTTGCTCCGTCCCCCAGGCTCACAGCAACCTCAAACTCCTGGGCTCCAGCGATCCTCCCGCCTCAGCCTCCCGAGTAGCCGGGACCACTGGCGCCCCCACCACCACGCCTGGCTAAGACCCTCCAAATTTATGTACAAGTTTAACGTGATTCATATCAAAATCCCTGCAGGATTTTTTTGTAGGTAAAGACAAGTTATTCTAAGTTTCATATAGGAAAGTAAAGGAACTAGAATAGCTAAGACCATTTTGAAAGATGATAAAGCGGAAGGAGCCGTCTGCAGTTTCAAGACGCACACGGCAGCGATCGGCACCGCATGGTGTCGGCAGAGCCCTGCGCAGGGCTGCACGCGCAGATCGGCAGTGCAGAACCAAGAGCCCCGAGGGTCACACGCGGACCCAGCCGTGCCCGCGGCACGAGAGTGCGTCAGCGGGGAAGCCTGGCAACAACCGGCGCGGCGGCACCGGGACACCCACCCGCTAGGCCTCCCGCCCGGCGGCTGCTGCACACAGACCTGCTCGGGACGGGTCGTGGGCTCAGATGTGAAACACACAACACAAACGTTCAGGAACAGAACCGGGGAAGATTCCTGGGATGTGAGGGGCAGAGCGTTCCTGGACTTGGCGCCAAGCGGATCATCCAGAAAAGGAAGCCTGGTGCGTTGCGCTTCATTAAAATTAAAGCGTCTGCCCGGAGACTCTGCTAACAGGACTTTTAAAACGCTGTGACTGGGAGAAGATGCTGGCAAGGCAGTGCTAATGCGTCTGACAAAGGACCTTCCAACTCGACGGTAAAACGAATAACTGGAAACGGGGACGTGAAGAGCCGTTTCTGGACGAGGGTGAGCAGGCGTCTGAGGAGCCGTGTGAGCAGGCGGGGAGGCGCAGGCCGCCCCACGCTGTCAGCCCGGCTGAGACAGTGGGACACGCCGCCGGGTCGCTCGAGTCGCTGGTGGGAGGCAGAGCGGCCAGCCACCCTGGGAAACGGCTGGGCGGAGTCTCGAAACAAGCGCAGCCCTCGCCCACTGCTGCCCTGGGCCTGCCACGGGCAGGGGCTGCCCTGAGGCGCCGAGAGGCTTCCAGCTCCTGCTGCAAAACTGGGGAGGGCAGAGGGCAGCTGCTGGGCAGTGCAGACAGGGCCGCGTCTGCCCCAAGTCGCAGGCGTCCACAGAGAGCCCCAGATGCTCAGTGGCCCAGCTGGGCTCGGGACAGAGACACGGCTTGGCCCGAGTAAGTCCCGGGCCACCAGGGAGCACGTGGGGCTCGGGGAGAGTCCCCCAGCACCCCACTCGTGTCTCTGAGCCCCCATCTGGGAGGGGGTCCCCAGCACGCGAGGCTCGCCGCAGAGATGGGTCAGCCGCCCGCACCCTGTGAGAGCCCCGGGCGCCCAGGACCCGCGACAGAAGTGCAGGCGCCACACCCACCTGACCAGGGCCTGCCATCCCTTCCGGGCTGGGGGTCACCTGAGGCCCAGGTGCTGCCCTCTGGGCTCCTCCCCTCCCCGGGCGGATGCTGCACGCAGGTCCCTGAGGGGTCTCCTCTCGCGGAGCACGGCGTCCACCGCTGCTCTGGGCCCCTCCCCTCCCCGGGCGGATGCTGCACGCAGGTCCCTGAGGGGTCTCCTCTCGCGGAGCACGGCGTCCACCGCCGCTCTGGGCCGGGACCTGCTGTGCTGGGGCTCCCCGGGTGGTCCCTCCCCCATGGGCGGCTGCAAGGGCTCAGGGTGCTCGAGGGGCCTCCCAGCCCCGTCCCCACCATGACCCCCCCGAGTGCCGCCCAGCAGGCGGGCGAGACTGGGACCGGGGCTGACGCGCTGTCCCAAACCCCCGCAGGTGGGTCCGAGGAGAGCACTACAGGTACAAGTTCAGCCGCCCCGGGGGCAGACACGCCGCCGAGGGCAAGTGGTGGGTGCGGAAGCGGATCGGCCCCTACTTCCCGGCGCTCAGCCTGCGCGACCTGCAGGACTACTTCAGGGCCCGAGAGTGGCCGCACCCGAGGCTGGCCAGGCACGCGGCGTGAAATAAAGACAGAAGACCCGCTGCCCCGAGTGGAGTCTCACCTGCGCCCACCACGGCCTCGCTTGGTGCCCCCGCAGGAGCATGGAGAGGACGGGGGGGGCAAAAAACCCGGCCGGCTGTGCCATCTGCCACGCAGGCCCTGCCCGCCTGTCCCCACAGACCCTGCGTTCCCCGCTCCCCAGGGAGGCCAGGAAGCCCCTGCCCTGCCCCCACAGCAGCCTAAACCCTGTCTCTGCCCTCCTGTCTGTCGGGGTGACAGCCACTCTCCCCACAGGCACTGCAGCCAGCTGTGCCCACCAGCCTGTCACCCGGCCACACGAGGCTGTGCCATCACGTGTCGGGACAAGGCGTCACCTGGATGCCTCCCCCACGCAGCACTGCACATGCACACATATGTACACACGTACACAGCCCTGCAAGTGCACACATGTGCACATACCTCCAGGCCCCTGGGTGGCCAGCATCTGTGAGGTGTGGACAGACCCACTTTGTTCTCCTGGGCGCCACCCACCTTTGCCCCCCGGCCCTGGCCCCAGGATTGGCAGCTCCGTCCCCTCTCTGCGACCCTGTCCCCCAGCCTCACGTCCCAACCTGCGACCTGCACAGCCAAGCATGGGGGGATGGGGGACTCGGGGCCCTGCCGCAGGAGGGAGGGGAGGGTGAGCGTGGGGGATGGGGCTGGTGTCCCTGCCTGGCGCAGCCGCCTCCCCACAGCCGACCGCAAGGCTCGTCCCTGGAGGGGCCGGAGCAGCCCCCACCGTGCGACAGCAGCCCTGCCTGCCCTGGCCTGGTCGGGGCGGGTGTGGATGGCAACATCCCCCCCCACACCCCACACCCCCGCCCCGGCATCCAGGGCGCCTGGAGCTCGTGGTCAGCCGCACGGCGGAGGCCCCGGCAGGGACGAGGTGGCTCAGGCCCAGGGCCCGGGCACAAGCGCGGGTCTGTGTGCAGCCCCCACAGCCTGCCTGGGGGCGGCCGGCCCAGGTGCGGACAGAGAGACCGTGTTCGGCTCCCCGGGAAACAGGGCGCCCTGTGTGTGTCGAGGCACAGACGGGCCTCAGAGGGACCAGCCTGGAGCCAGCACGTCTGCCCGGGGAGCGCCGAGCCCACCGCCGCCACCGCCAGGCCTGGCCAGCCCCGCCTGGGGGACGTCCTTGGACGCTGCTGGTGGTGGGAGCACGAGGGGGGCTGCCCCTGCCAGCCACATGGGACGGCACAGGGCGGGCGGCTCAGGAGGTGCTGGAACCGTCCCCAGGACCATCCCCCGAGAGGCCGGGCCAGCGGGAGGTGAGGCCCGAGGACACGCCAACCCGTGGCCCAGGGCTCTGTGGGCCTCAGTCGGTCGTAACGCTGGCTCTCTGGGGACACCGGGTCTGCAGGCCCCTGCGAGACAGGGCGGGGCTGGGCAGGTGGCAGGAGGGACGGGAGGCCCCACAGGGGCTGGGGCTGCAGGTCACAGCTGGAGCCCGGGGCGGCCCCTCCCGCCCCCCGCAGAAAGCCACCACGGCTGTCCAGGTCATGGCAGGGCACTTCCAGGAGGAAGTCACAACTCGCCACGCCGTGTCGGAGCAAGCAGCTCCGGGCGTTAGTCAGTCCGTCCACAGGGCGGTGCCTCCGCCACCCCTGCCCGGGCCCAGGTCTGATCTCCCCGGACTTTGTATGCAGGGATCCCACGTGTGGCCTTGTCAGGGCTTCTGTCACTGAGTGGCGTTTCGAGGTTACCCAAGCCGTGTGTCGGGACTCCGCGCCTGTCGTGGACGGACACGCGGTGCTCAGTCACCCACCAGCTCCGTCGTGTGTTTATGAACTCTCTGACGGAGGCCGTGGGAGGCGACCTGGGGCCTGGCCAGTCCAAGTGACATTCCAGGAATGTCCCCAGTGGCCGTGGACAGGGCTGGATGCCACATGTGGGGCACAGGGCCTGCCGGTGACCAGGACGGGAGGCTCGGGCAGGGGCGTGGGGTGGGTGTCCCTAGGTGCTAGGTCAGTCTGGGCTCCTGAGGACCAGGTGTGACCCCTCGTGCCAGCACTGGGGGCGGGGGCCCGGCCCAGGGGAGCCCAGAAGGCAGCGTCCCTGCCCCAGGAGCACCACAGCCGGTGCATGAGGGGGCCAGGGGTGGGGCTGTCCTCGCTCTGAGCCTCTGGGGCCTCTGCCCGGCAAGTGTCCCCACCTGGGACCCAGGGACAGTGGCGCAGGTGTCCAGGCCCAAATGGGCATCACTGCCCAGCAGAAACCGACACTCCCGCGGGCACCACTGGGCCTAGGAGAGAAGAGGCTGGGGGAAGTCGGTGGGGACAGCCCCTGCTCCCCACCACATCGGGACCGAGGGCAGAGCTGGGGCCTGGACCTAAGGGACAGAGCCTTGCCCGGACACCGCAGAGAGATCTGCCGTCTTGGGCCCTCCCTGTGTGGGATTCGGTTTCCTGGACGGGCGCCCTTGAGTTGCTGGATTTGGACTTGAACTTGCAGGTGGGAGCAGCGTCAAGTGGGTGAGACCCCAGGTCTGCCTCCTGCAGCCTCCTGACCTCCCAGCCATCCGTGCCCCGGGGTTGGCGCAGGGCAGAAAGTCCAGGAAGGAATCAGACTGGGTATAGGACACCAGAGACCCGCTGCAGGGAGGGGAGGGAGCTCGAGAGCACGGCTCCTCCTCACACCAGCAGGTGCCCTCTGCACTCCCCGACAGGCCAGCTCACAGCCGCCTTCACTCTGCTCTGCAGGACAGGGACGGGGCCTCCAGCCTCAGATGGGACAGAGGTCAGGCCCCCTCCCCTTGTGGGTGAGGGAAATGGGGACCCAGGCTCCCCGAGGGACACCACCGCCCGGCGACTCCCTGACAGCAGGGTGCCCCCATGCAGGACAGCGGACTCCAGCAGCTGCCTTTGTTCTGCATGACCGACAGCCCCACCTGCCCTGGGGTGGGGTCAGGGCCAGGCTGTCCCCACACGTGCTGGCCTCTGGGCAGGAGCAAGGCCGATGGACTTGGGTTGGAAAGTTCCCAGGACCCCAGGTGTGGGGGGTGGGGGCTGGGGACATGGGGCGTCCTGCTCTTGACCCTGGCCCGAGACGCCGGAGAGAGACCAGAGGAGGGTGGACAGGGTGGCTCAGCCTCCACGTAGCCTCTGCCCACCAGGGCTGCTCCCCACACGGAGTGCAGCACACCTGGACAGGGGGTGCCCGGTGATGGCAGCCAAAGCCTGGGCCACCTCATCACACTCAGGCTCAAGCCAGGCCCCCAGGAAGAAGCTTCTGAGCCATCCTTGTGGCTGTTCCACATTCTAGAAAATTCCAGAGCCAGCAATTCCATCGTCCTTTCATGATGAAAACCACTCAGAAAACTAGGAATAGAAGGAACATGCTCAACATGATACAGGATGCTCAGGAAAAGCCCACAGCTGGCTTCGTTTTCCATGGGCAAACACTGAAAACTTTCCCCGAGATCAGGAACGAGACAAGGACGTCCCACTTGCACCTGCTCAATGTTTCACTGGAGTTCTAGCTGGAGAAATCAATGAGGAAAGGAAATAAAGGGAATCAAAATTGGAAAAGAACTAAAACCGTCTCTACTCACAGATGATGGGATCCTGCGTATGGAAAATCCCAACGTATCCACAAAAAATGACCAGAGCAAATGAACTAACTCGACAAAGTTGCAGGACGTGAAATCACACCAACAGGCCCTCGAAGGAAGCTCGGGAAACATCCCATTTGCAAGAGCATCCGAGACAACAAAACCCCCAGGAATAAATTCCACCAAGGAGACAGAGGACCTGAGCAACCAGAACAGAACACAGAGGAGACAACCTGGAGGTGACATAAGTAAATGCACAGTCGCCCACGGTCACGGACGGGAGCCGGCATCGTCAATGGGACAACACCACACGGAGTGACGACCCCCCCCCAGGTGCCCGTGGCCTCGTTTGCAGAAATGGGAAAGATCACGTGGGGTACAGGGCCCCCAGACAATGAAAACAATCTTGAAAAAGAAGGACAAGGTTGATGAACTTGCACTTCCTGATTGCAAAACTCAGCACAAAGTGAGAGTGATCAAACCAGGACGGCAACAGCGTTGAAACAGACTCACAGGTACTGGGATGGAAAACACCAGAAACAAACTACTGGGTATGTGGTCAGACGGCTTTTGACAAGGCTTCCGAGAGCATCTGATGGGGGGGAAAACACGTCTTTTCAGCAGATGGTGCTGAGCAAACTTTATAGCCACATGAGTGGGACCCTTACCTCACACCATACAGAGATTAATTCAAAGTGGATGAGACATACGAGCTAAAACTATAAAACTCTTAGAATAAAATGGGGAAAACGTTTTTTGTTTGTTGCCCGGGCTAGAGTGCCGTGGCATCAGCCTAGCTCACAGCAACCTCAATCTCCTGGGCTCAAGCAATCTTCCTGCCTCAGCCTCCCAAGTAGCTGGGACTACAGGCCTGCGCCACCATGCCCAGCTAATTTTTTCTATATATAGTTTTAGTTGGTCAATTAATTTCTTTCTGTTTATAGCAGAGACGGGGTCTCGCTCTTCCTCAGGCTGGTTTTGAACTCCTGACCTCGAGCATTCCGCCCGCCTCAGCCTCCTAGAGAGCTAGGATTACAGGCGTGAGCCACCGCGCCCGGCCGGAAAAAAATTTTTTTAATTCCTCCCCTCCAGCCAAGGGCAGATCTTTATGACACTGGAGTTGGCAATGATCTTGGATATGTCACAGGCAACAAAAGACAGATACGTTGGATTTCATCAAAATTTAAAACTCCTGCTGTCATTAACCATGGCTCTTCCATCGGGAACAGCTGAGGCCTGTGGGTGACCACGCAGGTGCTGCTCCTGGTGCGGTGGCCGTGGGGGCAGCCCAGGACTGGGCTGCTCAACATCCACACTCACGGACACCGAGCACCGCTGCGAGACGCCAGCCCTGAGGACGAGCCGCGGGGGCCGTGCACTCCCCAAAAGAGCGCCAGCCGCCCCCCAGCAGCCAGGACACCCGCGAGGACGGTTCCCACCTGTGCAGACTCA